TTGCCCGGCTCCTGTCTCCTGTGGCCTCAGGACAGTCAGGAACAGATGGTCTTAGTGTGTGCCCCCTTGACTCAGACTGGGTGCCTGTACGCAAAGCTGTCCTTTTCTCTAACAGCTGCCTTCCGATCTGAGACTGTCCTTCCCCAACCGGCACCTGTGGTTGATGTCTGGAGGGTCCCAGCCCACCCTGGATTGGCCACAGGATAAGTCATCCATTCTGACTCTTGCCCCCTCAAGATTGGTACTGTTTCCTATGGGCACCACTGACCTCAGCATGGTGACATCCCAGAGAAGTTCTAAAAGCGCTGTTTTTGTGTCTCAGGAAATGACTGGGATGCTCGCTCTGGAGTCCCTTCAGGCCTCATTTTGGCAGGCCCTGTGCAGAGGGTGGCATTGCTTCCTGTTCCCATCAGTTCCTTGCCCGCCGACAATGTGGACTTTGCCTGGACCCAAGATGTCGGCCGGCCGGGAGCAGCCCTTCCTGGGACTGAGCCCTGGGCTGCTGGCGTGGGTGCTCCATTGTTCGCCGTGAACAATGAGCAGTCTTTGGCCAGGAAGAAGAGTTCATGAAAAGAGCATTTCTCTGGATGCTTGAGAGCTTTGTGGCGACCCTGCCTGTGTGAGATGAACTGCAGTTTCTTCCTGCCTGGAGTGGGTGTTCCCTAGTTCTGAATGGACCCCTTGTGAGCACAGCACACCGGGAAGTAGGGGTTGGCAAAGGAAGGCATCCTTGGGGGCGGGCTGTCAGCATGGCATGTGCCCAGACTCATCAGCTCAAATAATTACTGAAAATACAGGCTTCTGTGTTTAAACAAAAAATGACAATGACTGAAAGAGACCATGACAAAGTCAATATACATAATGTGAGGTCCTCTAGATTGAATGACTCATTCTGAGTGTTTTACTGATGACTGTAACAATACTAAACTTTTCCTTTTTTTCCTGTAAGAAGAGGGGTTAATATTAAATTTGAGAAGCTGAAATTGTGGCATAGTGAGTTAAGGTGCAGCCTGTAGCACCAATGTTCAATGGGTGCTAAGTCATGACTGTTCTACTTCCAATTCAGCCCCCTGCTAATATCCTGGGAAAGCGGTAGAAGATGGGCCAAGCCCTTGGGCCCCTGCTCCCATGTGGGAGACCAGGAAGAAGTTCCTGACATTGGACTGCACTGGCTCTACAGCACTGGACATTTGGGCCATTTGGAAGACAAACCAGCAGATGGAAGACTCTCCGTCCCTTCTCTCTGTCTTCCTGTGCTCTGCCCTTCAAGTCAATGCATCTTCAATTTTTCTAGAAGTCCATGCAGCCTGCCATGTGAGTGGCAGGAACCCAGTTAACGTGAACCATCACTGTTGTCTCTCAGGGTTTGTATTAGCAGGATGCTGGAGTCAAAAACTGGAGCTCTTGTGTTTGTTGTAAGATTTATTTTTATTGGAAAGATAGTGTTACTGAGGGAAGGAAAGACAGATCTTCCGTCTGCTGGTTTATTCCCCCAAATGGCCACACCAGCCAGAGCTGAGCTAGTTCCACTTTCCGTCTCATCTTCTCCAGAGATTGCTGAGACTAGACAGCTTTCTGGCCCTTTCTCGATGACCTGTGAACTGGGGCCTGTGATCTTATACTAGACTTGCCTCTGCAGTCTGGTGGGTCAGACTGCCAGCTGCTAAGTGAACACCTTACACAGAACCCCAGCTGTTTTACCTTAAATGGCCTTAAAAATGTAGAGGTGGCACGTCTGTGACTTGGCCAGGTTCTTCATGGAAGTTAGCTTTCTTTTGCTTCCTAAGACCCTTCTCTTAAAATATATCGTTGCAACTTTAAACGCTATTTGGGCTTTGATGTTCCTGGTACTGACACATCTGGAGGAGAAGGGGTTAGACTGTTCAGGTTTGTACTTTTCTTTCTTACCTAAGAAGCTTCTGTAACCCTGAGAGCAGTGTCTACTTCAGGTCTGCACGTGCAGGTTTGATAGCTGTCTTGCAGCCGTGTATTGGGAGTCAGAATCTGCACATGAAAACATGTGTATGTTGAAGAGGCTTGGCTCTTGTTCTGTCCTGGCTTGCCCCCAAATTCATACAGCCTTGAGTAGACAGTAGTAAAAGAAAGTACTCTCATTGATGAAAATTAAGCTAACAATTCTCATCTCCCAATTTGAAATTAATTGAGCACTATAACTTGCTTTGGTGAAACCTGGAATTTTTGATGTTTGCAATTTCTATTACAAGTTAGTTGGCATAAAGCATGCTGCTTCATAGGCAGCCCCATGGGGACCTGGTTCATAGAGAATCCTGCATTTGTTCTGTAGGAATGTCTGACAGCAGCACTTGGCTGCTTAGGTCATGGAGTAGAAAGTCAGCCATACTGGTGGTATATTTTGAAGGAGGGAAGGCCCCTACTCTGTTTTCTGGGTTAGGAAATGTTTTTTTTTTTTTTTTTTTTTTTTTTTGTGGCTGGAGAGAGATTGGAGAAGTGCCAGCTGCTTACCTCTCTGCTGGTGGAACACAGGGTTGGACACAGGCCCAGCTTCCTGGCCATTCAGGAATGTCTCATAGGTGTGGCCAGCCTGGTCTTGCGGTTGGCTTCTCTGTGACTTGATTTACTCAGAGCTCCATTCCAGGCTTTCTCTGTCACCTGCCTCTGTTGCACGAGCTCTATCTCTGTGGTGGTAGTTGTGGTATGATCTTGGGAAACACCCAGGGGTGGCTGAAGACCAGGGCCCATAACCTAACTTACCTACTCCACTCTTCAGGACTCCTGCTTGGGTCCCACCCCTGCAAAACTATGTGTTTACATTTGGGTACTGCAGTTTTCATATTTAACATAAATAAATGAAAAACAGTTTTATGCATAAGGTTTTAGCCAAAACATTTGAAACAAGAATTGTTTTTACAGCTAGAAAAATTTTAAGAAAAATATATTTAGGATGTTTTCATGGATTTATTTGAAAAGTTACAGAGAAGGAGAAACAGAGATCTGTTTGCTGGCTCACTCCCCAAGTGGCCTCTATGACTGGGGCAGGGCCAGACTGAAGCCAGGAGCTAGGAACTCCCATCAGGGTCTCCCAGGTACCAGGGCTATTTTCTACTGCTTTCCCAGGTACATTAGTGTGGAGCTGCATTGGAAGTGGAACAACTGGGCTTGAACCTGGGTTCATATGGGGTATTGGTGTTACAGATGGCAGCTTTACGTGCTTTACCACAATATTGGCCCCTTTCCATGGATTTGAAGATTGCTGTTTATAGGTATTTTAGCACTTCTGTTTGATGGTAAATGATGAGAGATTCTTAGTGGTACATAAATTAGATAATGGTATGTTTCAGATTTGTGGCATCAACAACACAAAACTGTTCACACAGATTCTCAATAAGTGGCTCAGAGAGCAGTTAGGAAAGGCTAACCCCAATAATAATGACTCCTAAGAATATAAGTTGTCTCCTCATAGAGTTACAGGTTTTTTTTAAAAAAAGATTTATTTATTTTTATTACAAAATCAGATATACAGAGAGGAGGAGAGAGAGAGAGAGGAAGATCTCCCCAAGTGAGCACAATGGCCGGTGCTGTGCCTTCTGGAGCCAGGAGCCAGGAACCTCCTCTAGGTCTCCCATGGGGGTACAGGGTCCCAAGGCTTTGGGCCGTCCTCAACTGCTTTCTGAGGCCACAAGCAGGGAGCTGGATGGGAAGTGGATCAGCCGGGATTAGAATCAGTGCCCATATGGGATCCCGGCGCGTTCAAGGCGATTACTGTAGCTGCTAGGCGACGCTGGCCCCTCCTCATAGGTTTTTGCTGAATGTAGCAAACCTGTTGAAATTCAGCTAAAGGGGAAGGAGGCAGTGTCTAGTTTCTGATGAGTTTGCTGCCTGGACACCTGCACCCTGGCAGGGAATATTAAATACAAGCCAAGGGCCTCCTCCCCAGTCCACCCAGATTCCTGGCTTTTGGCAGAGGGACCCAAGCCTGAACTTAGTCTTCCTGCTGCAGGAAAGGAGATATTTTAGTGCCCACCCTTAGCAAGCAAGGTGCTAAGGGATAGTCCCTGCGTGGAAGGATTGGATTGACCCCCGCCACTGGGGGTCCAATGGAATGTGCCATCCATTAGAGCACTTCCAGACAGATCATAGTGTGCCTCCTTTCTTGTGTGGGGATGGCAATAGGTGTTTCCCAAAGGTTTGAGCAGGAGGCAAGTCTCCTTCCCTCGTGTCAGCTGTCAGTGGAAGTCTCTGGATGGCATTGCCTTGAGTGCTCACTATGTCCCTGTGAGAGAGGACTTCCCACTGAGAGGAGTCAGAAGCTGTCTCTCTACATGCATTGCCTGCACTTGGCTGAAGACCCTCTCCTGCAGACACAGGCACCTCAGGGTTCCTGCTGGGTGCTGTTGCAGGACACTTGACTCTAGTCCACCTCTCCAGGCGTGATCCTCTTGAGGTTTGAGAAGGAGGATTAGTTACAACATTAGGTATAGCTGTGTTTTCTGTAATGTGTTCCCCTGCCCTGAGTGTCAGCTAGCAGTTGTAAAGTGAATTTGTTCTGGATGTGAAGCTTTGCCTTGTCTCCAGGCCTCTGCATTTCCACTCCTAGATAGGAAGGGCATTCCTGGCCAGATGAGAGGCAGAGGGGACAAGGGAGTGAGTAAGGTGAGACTAGAAAGCAGTGCTGATTGCTAAGGTGAAACTCTGGCTGGGTTCTGCAGGTGAAGTGTCACAGAGGTGGGCCAGAGTGTGCTACTGGTGTGAATGTCCAGAGCATTCCGGCTCCTTGGCATCAGTTCTGTGTCTGAGTGCCAATGCTGTTGCCTGCATGCTGTATGGCCTAGGATGAATTATTTGTCTACCATGTTAACCCATCCAATAGCCCCAGTCTTCTTGTGACAGATGCATGGGGTTGCTTGCATTCTCTGGAAGAAAGGAGTTGACTTCCCCAGTAGGAATTCAGAAATGTTCCACCATCAGGCCTGTCCCTGTGTGACGGCAGCCCTTGCAGCTCATGTTTGTGTGTCTTGTAGGTATCAGCAGCAGGAAAGGAGGCTTTGCCATCTTGGCTGCACTGGGATCCGCAGAGCCACACCCTGGAAGGCCTTCCCCTGGACACTGACAAAGGGGTGCACTATATCTCAGTGAGTGCTGCACGGCTGGGGGCCAACGGCAGCCACATCCCCCAGATGGCCAGCGTCTTCTCCATCGAGGTCTACCCCGAGGACCACAGTGAGCCACAGTCTGTGCGGGCGACCTCTCCAGACCCAGGCGAGCTGGCGCCCTCTGCCTGTGCTGCCGATGAGCCTGTGACTGTCTTGACAGTGATTCTAGATGCCGATCTCACCAAGATGACCCCGAAGCAAAGGCTTGACCTCCTGCACCAGATGCAAAGCTTCTCGCAGGTAGAGCTCCATCACATGAAGCTGGTGCCCGTGGTGAACAACAGACTGTTTGATATGTCTGCCTTCATGGCTGGTCCTGGAAATGCAAAAAAGGTGGTGGAGAATGGGGCTCTGCTCTCCTGGAAGCTGGGCTGCTCGTTGAACCAGAACAGTGTGCCTGACATCCGTGGCGTGGAAACCCCTGCCAGGGAGGGCACCATGTCTGCCCAGCTCGGCTACCCTGTGGTGGGCTGGCACATTGCTAATAAGAAGCCGCCTCTCCCCAAACGTGTCCGACGGCAGATCCATGCCACACCCACCCCTGTTACTGCCATTGGCCCCCCAACCACGGCCATCCAGGAGCCACCATCCCGCATCGTGCCCACCCCAACATCCCCAGCCATTGCTCCTCCCACAGAGACCATGGTGCCTCCTGTCAGAGACCCTGTTCCCGGGAAGCCCACAGTCACCATTCGGACCCGAGGTGCCATTATTCAGACTCCAACCCTGGGCCCCATCCAGCCTACTCGGGTGCTAGAAGCTGGCACCACAGTTCCTGGTCAGATTCGCCCAACAGTGACCATTCCTGGCTATGTGGAGCCCACAGCTGTTGCTACCCCTCCTACAACTACAACCAAAAAACCACGTGTGTCCACACCAAAACCAGCAACGCCCTCAACTGACTCAACCACCACAACTCGCAGGCCAACCAAGAAACCACGGACCTCCAGGCCAGTGCCCCGGGTCACCACCAAGGCACCCAGCACTAGGCTGGAAACGGCCTCACCACCAACTCGTGTCCGCACCACCACCAGTGGGGTGCCCCGTGGCGGGGAACCTAACCAGCGCCCTGAACTCAAGAACCACATTGATAGGGTGGATGCCTGGGTCGGCACCTACTTTGAGGTGAAGATCCCATCAGATACCTTCTATGACAAGGAAGACACGACCACCGACAAGCTGAAACTGACCCTGAAGCTGCGGGAACAACAGCTGGTGGGCGAGAAGTCATGGGTACAGTTCAACAGTAACAGCCAGCTCATGTATGGCCTCCCTGACAGCAGCCATGTAGGCAAGCACGAGTATTTCATGCACGCCACCGACAAGGGGGGCCTGTCGGCTGTGGATGCCTTTGAGATCCATGTCCACAAGCGCCCTCAAGGGGACAAAGCACCTGCACGCTTCAAGGCCAAGCTGGCCGGTGACCCCACACCGGTGGTAAATGACATCCACAAGAAAATTGCCCTGGTGAAGAAGCTGGCCTTTGCCTTTGGCGACCGCAACTGCAGCACCATCACCCTGCAAAACATCACACATGGCTCCATTATAGTGGAATGGACCAACAACACGCTGCCACAGGAGCCCTGCCCCAAGGAGCAGATTGCTGGGCTTAGCCGGAGGATCGCTGAGGACAATGGGCAGCCTCGGCCGGCCTTCTCCAATGCCCTGGAGCCTGACTTCAAGGCCCTGAGTGTTGCCGTCACAGGTTCTGGCAGTTGTCGGCACCTGCAGTTCATCCCAGTGCCACCGCCCGGTACCCCGTCTTCAGTGACACCCCTCACGGAGGTGCCAGACAGGGACCCCGAGAAGAGCAGTGAGGATGACGTCTACCTGCACACGGTCATTCCGGCCGTGGTGGTTGCTGCCATCCTGCTCATTGCTGGCATCATTGCCATGATCTGCTACCGCAAGAAACGGAAGGGCAAGCTCACCCTGGAGGACCAGGCCACTTTCATCAAGAAGGGTGTGCCTATCATCTTTGCTGATGAGCTGGATGACTCCAAGCCCCCACCCTCTTCCAGCATGCCCCTCATCCTGCAAGAGGAGAAGGCCCCTCTGCCCCCACCAGAGTATCCCAACCAGAGTGTGCCCGAGACAACTCCTCTGAACCAGGACACTGTGGGAGAGTACACACCCCTGCGGGATGAGGATCCCAATGCGCCTCCCTACCAGCCCCCACCACCCTTCACAGCACCCATGGAGGGCAAGGGCTCGCGTCCCAAGAACATGACCCCTTACCGGTCACCTCCTCCTTATGTGCCCCCTTAACCCACAAGCGCCTGGGTGGAGGCAGGGGTAGGGCAGGGGCCTGGAGACAACGCAAGGTTGTCTGTGGAGACCAGTGGCCCGCAAACCATTGTCCACCCACCGGGAGCTGACGCCAGACCTAGCACACACTGACACACGGGGCCTGGACAAGCCCGCCCTCTCTGGTCCTCCCAAACCCCCCAAAGCAGCTGGAAAGACTTTGGGGACTTTTTTTATTTTTATTTTTGCCTAACAGCTTTTTTGTTTGTTCATAGAAAATTCTTCGCTGCGTTTTTGGTGGCTGGCTCTGAAAGCACCATGTGGAGTAGAGATAGCTGGGGGGGCGCGAGGAACCGTGAATGAACTCGCAGGCAGTGCCGGGCAGCCCCCCGGCTCTCTGCGTTTTGCCTTTAACACTAACTGTACTGTTTTTTCTATTCACGTGTGTCTAGCTGCAGGATGTAACATGGAAAACAGTAGCTAAAGATTAAATTCAAAGGACTTTCAGAAGTTAATGGGTTAAGTTTTTACATTTAATCTGCTGTTTACCTAAACTTGTATGTATAATTTTTGGGTGGGTATGGGGAATTGGTTTGCTAAAAATAAGCTCCCAGGGTGTTTCAAACTTAGAGAAGACCAAGGGACAGTATTTTTTATCAAAGGAATCCTATTTTTTCACACTATGTCAACTTGGTTGCTCTGATATCCCAGAGCCTAAGCGGGGGCCAGAAGACCCCCGCTCAGGGGCCGGGGCCCTGGTGCTGGATTTGTTCTCCTGTGGTAGACAGGAGCTGGAAGCTGGAGGGGCCTCTTGGGCCGTGGACATCCCCACCTCCACCCCATGCACGCTTGTGGCCCACCACCAAGGGGGTCTTCATTCCCATGGGAAAGGGACTCCAAGAGGCAGTGGTGGCCATGGCCCCCACCCTAGGTGCTCCAAGGTGGGCCAGCTGCTCATGGGGGCGCCTGGGGAGGTAGAGGGACTCAACCACATTGACCCATTTTCTTTTACCTTTCTTCTTTCCCCCTCTTCCCTTTTCACACCCCGCCCTCTCCCCCAAAAAAGGAATACCACAGCTTTTGAAACACTCAGTGGGGGACATTTTGGTGAAGATGCAATATTTTTATGTCATGTGATGCTCTTCCCTCACTTAACCTTGGCCACTTTGTCCCAGCAGTCCACAGCCCTGCCCTGATCCCAGTCTACCCCTATTCTCTGGCGCTCCAGTCCCCGGCCTTGGGCCCAAACCAACGACTGGAAAAGCTGTGGTGGCCAGGGAGGAGTGCCAGCAATAGTTCATAGTAACAGATCTGTGGGCTCTCAAAGCTAATTTTTTACTAAAAGTTTTTATACAGCCTCAAATTGTTTTATTAAAAAAAATAGATTAAAAATGGTGATGCTTACAGCAGTTTGTACAAGCTCTTAGTGTCAATTCCATGGACCCTGACGGCTTTGCTCGTATTGATTTTTTTTTTTCCTCCTCCCTCCCCCTTTTCCTAACAGTTTAAATTCTGGAATTACACTGGGCCTCTTTCGCCTTTTTTAGCAAGAACGTCCGTCTGTCCATCTACATCTCTGTCCCATGACTCAGGGGCGCCCGCTGTGCTTCGACTCTCCTCGTTTGGAAGCAGCATGACTTTTCTTGGTGTCCAAGTTATTTTGGGTCCCTTTTAGGGAGGAATGCCTTTCGCAATAATGTCGCCCTCTCCTGGTCTGGGATGGGTGGGTGGGTGGATCCGGAGCAACTACTTTCTAAGCCATATCGACTATTTTGCAGAGGGTTCATGTGTGTGCTGCCTCAGGAGGGCAGGGCAGGGCTGGCCAGGAGGGGCAGGATCTCCCTTCTGCCATGTCTGGAGGGCTCTTCTGCTTGGCTCTCCTCCCACAGGCCCCAGACCCCAGTCCCTAGCAGGGTCCTCCGAAATAAGCGGTGCCCCTGTGGGAGCTCCCAGTGGACAGCAGTGACTATTGGGCCTGGAGCCTCCAAGCCCTGGTCCAAGCCAGAGTTTCCCTGATGCCTCAGAGTCAGGAGCACAAGTGGAATCTGACCCGGGTGAGATTCTTTCTGATGACCTTGTCAAAAAATAAACAATTCCTACTGTTCCAGGTAAGGGCTTTGAAAGGCCTTCCAAAGAGCTCCGTTGCCGCAGGCAACCCCACCATCGGGCACCGCTGCACAGAGACAGGCCTGGCCCCAATGGCCTGTTGCCTTAGCAACCGGAGCCGATGGGGCAGTGAACAGAATAATAACAGCAACAATGCCTTCACAGGCAGCCTCCCCTGCGTGCTGGGCTGGCTAGTCGGCCGTTGGACTCTGTTAGACGGAGAGCCACTCTCACACTCAAGTTCACCAACCACTGACGTGTTTTGATTTCCTTCTACATGATTTTACGATGTGTTTTCTGCATTCTGTATAGAAACATATCAAACTAAATAAAAGCAGCGTCTTTATTACAATGCCATGGCCTTGGAGCATCTATTTCCCCCTTCGCCGTGGCTGTGGGAAGGACCTTGGCCAAGCCCACTGGGAGGTGTGGTGACAGACTCCCTATATAAATTTTACTTTTTGGGGGGTTCTCTAAGAGGACTTGGTGTGGGCTCCTGCAGCTCTCCCCAGATGTAGGCCCTTCTCTCCCCATTCCCCCGAGTTCCTGCAAGGATGAAAGCTTAGGGGTACCTGTGACAACACCTAACCCCACCCCTTCCCTATTGTCTTGGGAGAGTTAGGGGTTTGCAGTCTCCCTGGTAGTCTCGGGGTGGGAATGGCATTGCCCTCTGTGGGAAGAAGTGGGGGAGGAGGGAAGGGAATGGTTTATGGCCAGGCTGCTTTGCCTTACTTGGGCCTGTAGATTGTGTGCAGCTGACCCTAAGTGCCTGGCATGAGATAGGCCAATAGAGCAGGCCGAGCATGTCTGTCAGTGCCTAGCAAGGGGCAGATGGGGCCATCCTGGGATACCTCTTGATGTGTGGGAAGCAGGAACCACAGCAGCTGTTTTCAGAGGAGGATTAGGGCATTGGTCACTGAACAACTGGTGGCTCTTCTGGGATCAGCTGTGCTACCACTAGCTATTTGGCGCTCTCCTCCTGTGGGCTGCGTTCTGTACCTCAGCTCACTGCCTTTAAGTTCCAGAGAGGATGTTATCCCATCTGGCAGAAGGAGCTTCAGGGGGTAGGGAGTCGATGAAGGTCAGATACCTTCTTACAGAGTTAGGATCTGAGCATGTGTTTCACACAAAGTGGTCAAGGAGAGGCTCCTAGCGTGGCTCACCCCATGGACCTGGACGCAGTAGCTCTGTCCTTGCTTCATGTCAGGAAATCCTGCTTAAGGTCTCTCCTAAGACTTTAAGTGAATTCGTGGCCTTAGAGAATAGTAAGGCCAGAGCAGGAAGGACAGAAGCTCCTAGGATATGCGGCCCCTGTCCCCAGCATTCCTGGCACATTTATGTGACACTTCCTTGAGGGAGATGGGGGCTGCTACAAGAATCCTCCAGTGCACCGGCCTCTGACAAGGGCAAGTGCTAGGATCCCTTTGTCCGGTTCCTGACCCGTAAAGGAACTGTCTCCATGGGGTTCCAGCAACCAGTGACTAGGGTTGAAATAATGGGTCTTCCTCGTCCCTCCCCCCCGCCCATACCTGCAATAAGGGTATAGAATCAAAGTAAGACTGGATGAATGCCTTCCATCGGCATGAGTGAAGGCACTACCATGGGACAAGGTCCAGGGGCTGGTCCCAGGCCAGAGCTCCCTGGCCTGCAAATCATGTATGTCTATGAGTTTGTGGCCAGCCTCGTCCTCCCTTTGTCCACAACAGGCGAGCAAAATTCCCAAGCAGGGCTGCTTCCCAGCTCCTCTACAAGGAGGAAGACACAATCCAAGCATCACACTCAGGGTGAGCTTCACTCTTGTCATCTTAGATCCCTAAATCCGTGGGTGGCTTGTCCTTTTGCAAATTAGCGCATTTTCTTCACTGTGTCTTAAAGCATGGTGACTGTGGCTGTGACTGATCAAGTCTTGGGACTAATTTAGGGGAGGATCTACACAAAGTATGACACACTTTAAGTTGTCTAATTTATATTTGAAAAACGGGCATACCTTCCCTCCACTGGTTCACTCCTCCAAATGCCCACCAACCACCAAGGCTATACTGAAGTCAGGAGGCGAGAAGTCTTGGGTCTTCTGCAAGGACACCCAGCACTCCAGTCCCTGAGCCGACATCTCTTGCCTCCTGGAGTGTGCGTTAACGCCAAGTTAGGTTAGAAGCCAAGTTAGGTTAGAAGCGATAGAGCCAGGACTCCAATCAGGCACTGGATATGGGATGCAAGCATTCCAGGTCCAGGCAGCCACTTAAGCAACTGAGTCAGATATCTACCCCGGGGGTGTTTTCTGATTATGAAATTTGTTTCTGTTGCAGAATTGCAATTATTTGAAACTTCTAGAAGATCTAGAGGAGATGAGGCTGGTTCTAGTACACACAGGCTAGTATTGGGGTGCTCCTGCAGGAGAGGGCTGCTTGAGGGGAGGATACTCAGGACCCTACTTCCCTCAGCGTTGTGGGAGCTTCGTCTGAGGCCAGGAGAACTTGATTTGTATGTATCCCTGTGGACGGCTCCGTGTGGCCAGGACCAGGTCACTGAGCAGGTTCAGAGTGGGGATGGTGCAGACCTCAATGCTGGTTAACAGCTCCTAGTGCTCCCCCTCTTCCCGTGAGCTCAGCGGAGTCCCAGCCACTCAAGGTGGAAGGACGGATAGCGCCCGGCCTCCGGGAGGTGGCGCCAGAGCGCCAAGCCGCCCGCGGTGGGCCGAGTTAAGACCGAGCGTAGGCGGGACTAAGGCTCCCGGGACGGGAAAGGCGGAGCCCGGCCGAGAGCCGAGCCGGCAGGGGATTGGGTAAAAGCCCGGGGCAGGGCGGGACCGAGCGCAGCTGTGGGCGGGGAGAAGGCGCAGCTGAGAGCCCGAGGGTAAGGGGCTGGGATTCAGGCACCTGTTGATTCCTGCAGGAGCTTGGGGCTTGGGGGAAAACAGGAGGAATGAGGTCGGGAGTTCCACAAGTAGACTCCGAATTTAGATGAAGGTAGTCAGGGACCAGTACGAACCCTTCCTTTGCGCATTTCCTTGTCTTTGCTTTTGCTTTGCTGGCGGGCTTCGTAACCCGTGGTGTCCCGTGTCAGACTGCGCACTCTGGGGCTGGCGCTTGTTGCTTGTCTCTCCTCTTTCAGCCTAGCCATGGGATCTGGGAGAGTCCTACATAAAGCCCCACACCTCTAATAGTGAGGTTGGGGGTCCCCCTAGTCCATGACTCTGGTACTGCAAGCAGTTGGGACTAGGGCAGCTGGTATGAGGAGCCATCTCTTCAGCTTCAGGCACACGGGGACAGTAGGAATCATCCATCCAATTGGCAGCTGACCAGGGTCCCCAGGACCAAGGCTGACGGTGTTATTGCCTTTGGTCTTCATGGTGCATCAGTGTTACGATGCAGAGGGCTAACAGAGCCCAAGTTTGAGGCCATGTTGG